GGTTAGCTATTACAACTATTTTTACAGAGATGAGAGTATAGCTAGTCACACATGTAACTTTTGGTTGCCTATTTAAGTAGTCCACCCTAAGGTTCTACACTAAATACTGTACTTATAACCTACTAGAAGATTATCTATTTAAACTCTCTAATCATCCACTCTGTTATATTGGAATTCCTAACTAACCTTTCATATATACCTAACTGGTATACTGTCTAAGCAGTATAGTACCTACTCTTTTTGTACTAGTTCCTAGATCATTACATATTTCAGAGTATGTCATCTGCCAGTAAGATGCAGAGGGCTCCCTGTTATTAACTATCTACCTATTTTTAGAACACTAATACAGGCTACTCTTGCAGAGTTCACTCAGACCCCAGTACTGACTTCACAGCATATCTCTAGTACTTTTAGTATACCTTTGCTTTGAACTCAGACTCCCAATCCAGATAGCCTAGAAGGACTATGACCTGTCCTTGGTATATTGAGACTGGCCCAATATCCTTTTTCTCTAGTCTGAAATCCAGCAGTCTGGTTGGTAATATCTCTCACTTGAGGTTCTTGCCTGCCCAAATCCTTCACATTGGTATCCATTTCCTAGGGCTAGCCTTTACAGTAGTATTATCAAAGATCTGTGTTACCTCTCTGCTTAGAATTTCCAAGTAAGCTCCAGCTTCTCAGTTCTATAGATTTACATGACCTGAGGACTTATTTTAGATTTGCACTGCCTGGTACTGGTTTGCATTCCTCTGTGTAACAAGTTACACAGATGCCCCAGATCTGCCAGTTATACTAGTGTGATCATAGTTACAAGTATTCTATCTCAACTAATCGACAGAATGTCGTCACTATAATACCATCTATATATTACATAGGTGATTATCCAAATTTCACCATCGGTAGGTTTTGAACTCACAACCTACCACTTGGGGGTATAACAACTTATCCACTTTACTAAGTTACCACACTCTCAATAATAAAAAATTAATCTATATACTGTTATTATCTTAAACTGTTTATTTGTTGATATATAGTAAAGTAAACTACTATATCACCATCTCATATACTGTATATTTGTAATAGTTAATCACTGTATTGAATAATTTTGTTACTTGATTGTATTGTATTAAGAAGGATGCAACACTGTAATAATATAATGAAAAAAATAAAATGTATTTTTAAATTTGTATATCAAAAACAAATTAATATAGTATATAAATAAAAATATTAAATATTAAAAATTTTTATAATAATTAAATTATAGTAAGTATTTTAATATAAGAGTATTTTTATATAGAATAATACTATTTAGATCATATTAAATACTAAAATTTTATTATTTTTTTAGTTATAAATTTTAGTTAAAAAATTATTAACCTATTGTTTAACTAAAAATTTTAAATATTATAATCAAAAAATCAACAAAATTTTAGTATTTAACATGATATATACAGATTAAAAAAGTAAATAAAGGTTAATAAAGATTAAATAAAAAAATTTACCATTATTCTACTTTATATATACTAAATAATAACAACATAACAAAATAACAGCAAAATAACAGTAAAATAATAGAAGTTTGTTAATATTAGTAACATAATAATAACATATTAGTGAAATAATAAAATATTTCTATTATTTTATTTTTAACTACTCTAATCAATGTTTAAAAATTCAATTTTATTTTAATATGCAGAAAAAACCTAGCAATTCTTGTAAATTCAACAAAAGATTGCATAACATGTGTCGGAGATAGAGATGTGAACCGAACATTGAACAGATAATATAAATAATCTATGGGTTACTTTAAACCGGTGAATATCCATAGATTTAAAATAACCCGTAAATTATTATATTATTCAAAATTTACGGGTCGCATCACTAGTCGGAGAGTTAATATGTTAGATTTGTCAAATTAAGATGTATGTACTTAAATTTTATATATAAATTTTATAAAATTTCTTTTATTTTTTAATTTTCTTCGAAGTTTAATATAAAAGTTAAGTTAAAAACTTCAGATACTTATCTTTGAGTATCTGAAGATTTTTGTACGAAAAAATAATCTTGACCCTAAAGTTGAACGTTTATTTACAATGTTTCTTAGTCAAAAAACTGACACACCATTAATTATAATAATATATGGTCCTTAAATTAAAAGACCGACTCACCATCAAAAAAATTATGATGAAATATTTACAATATTTTATAGTGGGGCAGTTTTTTAACTTAAGAAACATAGTAAAAGAACGTTCAACTTTAGGAACAAGATTATTTTCAACTTAATCAATAACTATTATTCAAACTTTGTATAAAGAATCTTCGTGAACTCAAGAACAAATATCTAAAATTTTAAAATTGATTTTTATTTTAATTTCGATGAAAGTTATAAATAAAAAGTTTTATAAAATTTACTTGTACGTCAATTAATTTGATCAATAAGTTTGCAATTGTAAACATGTCGGGCTGACTGATAACTAATTTATACGGTTTAAAAAACGCACCTATGGTGTTTTACACCTATGCAGGCATTATCTCAAAAACTGGCCAATTAATCAGGACGAGGTGTTCTAAGTAAAAATGGTCTATACCCCTGAAAACCCTTCCCGAACCTTAATACTAACCTAAAAACTAATCCAAACATGAAAAAATTCAAGTCAAAAATTTCTATAAAAAACTTAGAAAATTTATAAAACCATATAATAGGTGAAAAACACCATAGGTGCGTTTTATAATAATAGTTTTTCAAATTGTATCATTTCACAATTTTTACTTGTTTTTTTTTTTTTTTATATCAATAGGTTTAGAAAAGCGTTACCTTTCACTATACAAAATAATCTCATTTATTATTATTGTGGGTTTGTAAAAGATACATAAAAATAAATAAAAAATAAATAAAATAGACACACAAAATAATCGTTATTATTTCATCCAGCCTTTTTTTTTTAGATTACTTGGCAATGATTAATAAAGTATTAACATAAATTCAAAAAAAGAAATTTTTATAATAATTAGTAAGAGATCAGAACTGGTTATAAATTCAAGAAACCGAATTTGATTTACGTGTAAATGAAAACCGAGTGTTCGTATTGAGGATAAAAACTCGTGTTTTAATTAGATTGTAATACGCGATACATATTATTTAATAGACACTATGTAGTTTAAAACACTTGTCAATTGATGATGCACTTTTACGAAAATCAGATAAAAATAAACCAAATTTTACGTAAGTTAAAAAACTGGTTTATGTAACCGAATTAAAGAGATTACTTGAATTTTTTTTAAAAAGTTAAATTATATTAATCAGTTCCAACCTCTTTAATTAATCATCATTGTTAAATTTCTTTTCATGAATTGTAAATGGGAATTTATAGATACATACGTTACGTATATAATAATTTAATATGTATACGAACGATTGAGAAATTCCAAATCCGACCTAACTTTCCGGACGATCATCCGGACCCAACTTGATACCTAGACTCCTAAGTTTATTTACTTCATTGCTAAGAAATTCTAATTTAGCTTCAAGACGAGTAATTTTATCATTTTCAGGAGACTCATTATTAGGATCACCGACTTGAAGATTATTTAATTTTTCTTCGAGTTCATTATAAGCATCTTCTTTTTCTTTAAGTCTTGATTCCAAATGTTGTATAGTTTCACTAATGAATTTTTCAGGATGATTATCACGAGATGCAGCAATACGAGCATCAATTTCACGTTTTTGAAGTTTTGATTCAAGTTCTTTAATATATTTTTGAAGATTAGAAACTAAATCTTTGTTTTGTTGATTTGTAGAATCATCACCTTCTATTAGATTTTCTTGTTCTTTTAACTTAGATTCAGTATGAGATAAAGCAGCACTAGTGATTGCAAGTTTACTTTCGAGTGAAGATATTGTCTTTTCAAATTGTTCTATCTCTTGTTCAGAAACCACTCTTAATTTTATTCCGGGACAAGTATTCTTTAAGAATTCCATTTCATCATAATTATCTTGATGTAATGCTAATTCAGCCGAAGTTTTTGCATATTTTTGAGATAATTCAGAATAAGAACGTTTTAATTGCAATAATTGATCTTCCAAAGCCTCATAATCTCTATCTCTTTGTTGACCAGGGTTAATATTATTCATATTATTCAAATTATTGTGATTAAAAGTATTTGAAGGAGATGTAGGTGGTATTCTAGAGGGAGTTTCCCTACCACCTACGGGAGTAGATCTTCCGGGAATTCCAGAAGAAGAAGAAGAAGGAGTCATCCTTCCAGGTAATCCAGAAGTAGTAGTAGAAGAAAATTTTCCAACAAAATCATTAGTTGGAGTACACCTTCCAGGAATTTTAGCAGCAGAAGAATTTTTTTCTGAAAAACCGGAAGAAGAATGTTTAAGACCAGTTACAAAAGGAGATTGAGAAACTTTTTCAGGACTAATAGAACCACCATCTTGAGATCTTTGAGAATTTTGAGCAGCAGCAGCTTTTAAAGTAGAAATTTCACTTCGAAGTTTTAAGACTAAATTTTGTAAATGAGTAACATCATTCCAACCAGCTTCTTCTTGATTTACAGAAGCAATATTTTTGATATTTCTCGCACGATTAGCATATTTAAGAGTGCTAATAGTTTCATTAATATTATATTCAATGGGAGATACACAAGCAATCATTAATGTTTGGGCATTTCCACCAAGAGAATCTTGTAATAAACGAGTAAGTTTAGAATCTCTATAAGGTACATGGGTAGTATGTCTTGCTTTGCTAGGATCACCAAGAGCTGAAATTACATTTCCCAAAGCAAGTAAACCAGAATTTATGGAAATTCCTTCTCTTGCACGATCACCGCTTGCAGCAGTACGTTTTAACTATAATTTAAAATAAAATTAAAATTAAAATTTAAAATAAAATTAAATTAAAGTGGAAGTTAAAAAATTTTTTTTTAATTTAATAATAAATAATAAGTAGTAATAAATGATAATAATTATTTACACGTTCACTTCCAGCCAAATCGACGAAATGGAATTTACTAGCTATTGTAACCCATTCACCATCATCGAATTTATCTAGACTTGAATTTGTTCTTGAAGAAGGTTGACTTCCAAATCTAGAAGAAGCAGGAGTTCCAGGCCTTGAACTAGGAGGAGACGTAACAGGTTGACCGGCCGAAATACAGTTATGAGGGATGAATTTTTGTTGCACCATCGTGACAGAGAATATTGCATGAGAGCGAGAGGATTTAGAGTTCATATCAGTAACACCGACCTGTCGGTTCAATGAACCACGGGATAAATGGCTGTAATAAGAGAAATAATAAGAGAAATAAAAATCAATAAAAGTCAGTTGATAAAATTTTTTTTTATAATAAAAAAAAATAAAAATAAAATAAATACCCACTCCATAACTTCATCTACATTATTAACTTTTAATTCTTGTAATCCAGTCCAATATATATTACCCCTAGAATCTTCACGTATCATGACAGGAGGTCTTTCTTCCTCATTACCCTCACCAAGAAGATCAATCAAATCTTCATTATGAATCTCAATAAACGAAACTTTTATTGAGAATTTATGAGATTTGTATTGCCCAGAATTCACCAAAGAAAAAAGCGAATTCATTGTACGTGGAATTATTCCTTTTGATTCAGGAGGTAAAGTGCTATCATCAGCAGTTCCCATTGTATGAGTCTTTCCAGAAGAAGTCTGACCATATGCCAAAATAGTCACATTATAACCTAAAAGAATAAAAATTTGGAAAAATAAAAATATGTAAGACTAAGTAAATATTTTATTAAATTGATTTTTAATTCTGAAAGATATAGTCACATTATTTAAAAATTTTTTATATATAAAGCAGACCTCATTCTTATTTAATCGAATCAAATTCTTGCAGATAGATCATTTTACTCACCCTCCAAAAATTTTGTAATCATATTCCCAATAGCTCTTTCATAAACTTCTTGTTGGGTAGATTCAGGGGCAAAAACATGATCAAATTGAAAGATTTGCCTCTTTTCCGTATCAACAACTATTTGATTTTGATTATAAGGAGAAACCGATATAACTTGACGTTGAAATCTTGCTGGTAAATTGATTAAATCATCTTGTGTAAGGGGCTTGATCCTTAGCGCTATTTAATTGATAAATTTATTAAAACATTAATTATATGTTTCCTTTCTTTTTAATCATGTTAATTGTCTCATTATATAAATTCCAATTTAATAAATTTACCAACTTGCACTGAGGTAGACGTTCCTCCGTTAGAAGACATGATTATAAAACAAATACTTTTTAAAAAGTATTTTATAAGATCGATCGATAGATCGATATAGTTTTTTCTATAAGTTAATTAAAACTTTAGCCCAGCCCGCTGGTTAATGATATCCGAATTTTTATGATATAATATAGATAATCGGTTATTTTAGTAAATAAATTTTAATCCAGTCAAGACCAAGAAATGAAATTTCACAAATAAGAAAATCACAAGGAGTAATTACGAGTAAGCGTTCGACTAGGGACATAAAAAGAAAGGAATAAGAATCCTGGTGGATCATACTACAGCATTTGTTTATAAATACCTTGTACGAAATAGATCAAAAAAGGAAAATGTGTAACGATAATGACTGTTTAAAGTTCTTTTGTGTCCATTCAGGAAGTACACAATTAGTATATCGATCCTGGGAGCGTGGCGTCCGACATATTTATCGAACTTCTTTGTTTCGATACACGAGAATACGTAATTAAGGACATACATGCATTGCATTTTATATTTGCAAGATTAACATTTTTTACATATTTTAATGAGTGCAACCTAAATTCTGTATGATACAGTTGAAGCGTACTCAAAAATTCTTTTTTAGTAAATTTTCGGTTGTACGTATTGTCTTATTATTACGAACGTGATTGCAAATTGAAGATAAATTACATAATAATAATAATATACTTTAGATGGTTAGTACGTGTGTAAGTTTATAACTTCTTTAAATACTTGATGAAATTAACATTGTTTTTTACTTTTTTTTCTAAATTAGTCTCACATGAATACGCATGCTTTATATTTAAAACTGAACTACGTAATTTTGCTGTTGCATTTAATGACTTGTACATAATTGATTAAGAAATATTTCATTTAAAGAAATGTTAAGCCCATTATATGTTTCCTTTACTTATTTTATTCTCTTATATACGTATTGGAAGAAAATAACATCAATATAAAATTCCATAGTTCATTATCGTTATAAGATTGATTTTTAATTTAGGTATTGGCTTTTCCTCGTGAACTTGTTTTCCCAGTTTGTTTAATAAAAATTTCATTCGTATATATCAGAATTTGGCGTTGACAAAAATAGAATAATAGAACATTTAAAGTTTTTTTCGCTGCGTATAGTATAAAAGATTTTTTTTTTATAATTGTTTTAAAGACCAAATAGATATTTACAATAAAATATAAAAATCTAATAATTAAGGAATGAATCCGTTTAAAAAAACAGTCCGGGTTACCTGCCGGTTAATTGTTAGCATACCCGGATAATTGCACGGGTAGGTAAGTACATAATAGCACGGTTATAGAAAATATTCGTTACTTTCTTTTTAACCAGGTAGCAGAATCTGAGTAGCCCGGATACAGGTTCAATCCTTACTAATAATAAAAATTTTTAATAAAAATTTTTAACAGAAAAATAGAATAGAATGATATAAATGTCACCCTTAGTCACTGCTATTACGTTAATGAAACTTTTTCGCAAAAAAATCATGGCAATATTAAACCTGAAGATGTTATCTCTTGACTTGGCTTAAATTATTGTAGTTGCATTTAAAAAAATTTTTTTTTGTTATAATGCTAATAGTCATAATAATAATAATCGATTTTACTAAATTTAACCATTTAAAAATTATTGGTTTTCATTTGGCGACATTCAAATTTTTAATGTCCTAGTAAATTTACGGCAAAATTATCACTGTTTACACTTAGCGTTAGTACGCTAATGTACGTATGTACGTTGTAAAAGGCAAAATGGCTTCCGAAGTATGGTTTGGGATATACATATCACAAATGTAACACTATAAACAATGCACCAAAGCTGCTTATATTACTCTAATAATGGAAGAGGCGTAGATAGATTTGGTTCGATCAATTAGTGCTCTAAATTACATCACGGATCTCTTGATATGGAATCATGGGGGTAAGTTAGTGGAGCAAAGAACTGATTCAAGTGCTGAATTCGAGGGGAGTTGAGTTGTTCTCTATTGAAGGTAAGTTATTGGTCGCTTATATATTTTTTTACATATAAGAATTCGCCAAATTCACTAAATTCGTTAAATTCACTAACATTTCTAATTTATCCAATTCTAAAATTTCTACAATTTGCTACATTTTTAAAAGTTTGAATATTTGAAAATTTCTGTCGACCAAACTTGTGATCCGGAGGAATATATTTGACTTCCACAACGTATGTAAATAATGCTGACTGGTCTACTCAACTATAACTAATAATGAACCATAATTTGTGATAGTGATTTCTAATTTTCGAAGAGCTTTAATTATTTTTACATCGTTATTACTGTATTATTCGGTGTTATAATTTTGGTTCTATATTTGGTACTATCATGATTGTATAACATTCATAGCATCTTTCTTAAAACTAAATACAACATCATAGGCAAAAGTTTGCCCGATTTGTGACATAAATCAATCGTCAGGTTAACTCATTTATATGCTTTAAATACTTTTTGAGAACGTAACGATTCATCGACAAAAATTCATCACAAACATCATAGACAGCTTTAGAAAAATACCAAGGTTCATTTGGCAAAAGAATCTAAAGCTGCAATATTTACTTAAAAAATATTTACGCTTTCTATCAGCTATTGAATAATATGTAACCAATCATGTATAAAATGTTGGGAAAGCAGCAGCAAATAAAAGTAACTTTGTTCAGACTATGAAAGATCCGAATAATTGATTGTGATGGCGTTTTTTTAAAAAAAATAAATTAATTGCTCTACTAATAGTATAAGTTCCTTTAGTGCTCTAACAAAAAGTTTTCGTTAGGCAATTTTAATATATAAACTACTCTCTTCTAATCCCAAACCCTAACCCTAACCTAAGAGCTTTAAAGAATTTTTGCTGCGCCGCGAACCTGGCACACATTCAAGACATGCTTAAATTTATAACAAGTAATTTTTAGTCAAAATAACAGCAAATTAGAAAATTAGATCATTTTATAAACAATAGCGATAGAGGGAAAATAGCTTCAGCTCCGAATTAGCAATTAACTACGTGCGTACGTACGTTGCTCGATAGTGTTAGTTACACGAATCTTAAATTAGTTCAATGTAACAACGTTAATTTAAAATAAACTTTACGTACGTACGTACATATGAATAGTACAAATTCTGTTTCTCGTTTTTTCATACGTCTTAAAAAAATGAATCAAGAAAATGCGTCTAACTTGAATAAGATGGGATATAATTATCTCAATGGAATTGGAGTTGAAAAGGATGAACATAAGGCATTCATTTATTATCAAAAATCTGCTGAGATGGGAAATGCTAGTGGGATATATAATGTTGGATATTGTTATCGTAATGGAATTGGAGTTGAAAAGGATGAACATAAGGCATTCATTTATTATCAAAAATCTGCTGAGATGGGGAACATTAATGCAACAAATAATGTTGGATATTGTTATCAACATGGAATTGGAGTTGAAAAAGATGAACATGAGGCATTCATTTATTATCAAAAATCTGCTGAAATGGGAAATGCTTATGGAATATTTGCACTTGGCAACTGTTATAAAGATGGAATTGGAGTTGAAAAGGATGAACATAAGGCATTCATTTATTATCAAAAATCTGCGGAGATGGGAAATGCTAGTGGGATATTTGCACTTGGTAACTGTTATGAAGATGGAATTGAAGTTGAAAAGGATGAACATAAGGCATTCATTTATTATCAAAAATCTGCTGAGATGGGAAACAATAGTGGAATGTATAATGTTGGAAATTGTTATGAAAATGGAATTGGAGTTAAAAAGGACGAACATAGGGCATTCGAATATTTTAAAAAATTGGCAGAAATGGGAGATAATGGTGCAATGAGTCGACTTGGATATTGTTATCGGAATGGAATAGGAACACAAATAGATATACAAAAGGCTAATCATTGGTATCAAATGGAAAGAAACAATTCTCACGAAACGATTAAATCAACACATGAAAAATTTGATATTCATGATGTTGTGAAAAAATTATTAGATGATAATAGATATCAATTAACATGGATTCCTTATAATGAATTTAAAAATATCAAAGAAATTGGTCAGGGTTACTTTGCAACTGTATATAGTGCGAGATGGATAAGAAAATCTAAAGAATATAGTGAAAATGTTATATTTGCGCTTAAAAAAATCCATGATCAAAATTTTTTAGACGAGGTATTTTATTGTCATTTTTATTATTCATTATTATTATTATTATTATTATTATTATCTTTTCTTTGTTAACATACTTTTCTTAAAGCTGAAAGCGTATTGTGAAATCGGATATGAGAATCCTTCATTTTTAAAATGCCATGGTATATCAAAAGATGAAACTGGAAAATATATCCTTGTTTTAGAATATGCAGCGATGGGTTCTTTAAATAAGAATCTTAATTCTATAGCGAAAATGAGATGGAAAGATAAATTGAAATTATTATATTGCATAACTTCCGATCTTGTAGCTATCCATTCTCAAGGACTCGAACATCGAGATTTACATAGTGGTAATATTTTACAAGATAATTTATGTAGCGCGTATATCGCTGATTTAGGACTTTCTAAAACGAGTAAAAAATTCGGTGTTGAATATTACATTGCTCCAGAAGTTTTGATGGATCATAAAATGTTTACACCAGCAGCTGATGTTTATAGTCTTGGCGTTATTATGACAGAAATATCAACTGGAAAACAAGCTTTTGAAGGTTTAGAATTTATTCCCGGGACACCTAACTGCTATGTTAAATTAGCTAAAAGGTGTATGGATTCCAATCCTAAAAAACGACCTACTGCAAAATCCATTAATTATCAACTTGGATTATGGATAGAGGAAATGTTAAGTTCAGATGAAGATAATAAAATTAAAAAGAAATTTTTAGAAGTTGATAATACATTACAAATAGTTAACATAAATAAAAACTCGTCTCTGATAAGTAAACCCATTGATACCATCGATATTTCAGAGTAACAAAAATAAATTTATTATTTGACGAATATATTTGCTATATTT